ATTGTTTTACAAAACGAAATGTAAACAAAAATAAACTAATAAAATTCTTTTAACTTTTGTGGGAACAACTGTTTAGTCTATCTGCGGTTCTTGATAACATCTTACAAAATTATACTACAGACTTTATACATTGCCAGTAACAAATATGATAGAAAATTTATATATTGTAGTGTATGAGTTTCCATCAAATGTACTTATTCCTCATTTCGACCTGTTTTTTATTCCTTTGAAGCAGAATTTATTTAAAAACCTCTACATGAAAACAGTTGTTGTGGCCTTCAAGACCACATTCAGATATACCGACGGTTTTTTATCGATTAACAATAGCTATTTCCATTCATATGTCGACTCGATATATCCCAGTGAACTCGAAATAAAATATACTATATATTCTGCCACATCTGTTTCATATTTGGATGTTTTACTGACCAAAGACGATAAGGGCCAACAAACAACTAGATTGTGTGACAAAAAAGATGACTTCTGCTTTTCCATCGTCAACTTTTCTTATTTATGTAGTAATATTCCGCTATCATTTGCATATGGTGTTTAAATCTCCCAACTTATTCGATGCTCATGGGCATGCCCTGAGTACGATTAATTTTTAAGCCGAGGCAGACTAATGACAGATAAGTTGATATTACAGGAATTTCAAAAAATCGTTTAAAGGCAGCATTTCGTAAATTCTATTATCGTTATAATGACTTTGTTAGCAAATATAACCTATCGATGGGTCGTATTTTGGCTGACGTGTTTCATATCCATTAATTAGGCCTTTGTTTTTATACTGAATTTGACTACGGAATATTCCGTCTACCTTATCAACATATAGGGCTCACGGCGAATGTGCTCGGTCAACAGGGAATACTACTCCTCCTAGCCACCTTATCCAACTCTGGATTTCCGGGGGGTCCGCGTTTATGCCCTGTTCACAGATATGTATTGTTTGTAGTTTTTTTCTTAGACCGAACACTATTCGTTGTCTTTGCCTTTTTCTTTGACATCATAAATCAATTTAAGAGGACTTGTTTACATCAAACAAAATCTATTACATAGTTTTTTTTTTAATTTCTAAACGTTTTTTAAACGGATAGCTTCCATTCAAATTTTAATGTTCAGTTACAACTTTCGATATTAAAATGTAAAGGAACTCTTGATAATATATGACTGGCATAAGTATCTTGTTCATAATTACACTCTCTTCATTTCATTTTTTAAAAAAATGAAATTACATAGACGGAAATCCCAATTCTACTGGAAAAAATGGAAATCAAATTGTCCACTGAAAGTGATAATAATTTTTGGACACAACAAAGTAGAAAATACCGTTTATTTGAGAGTATTGTAAAAGAGTATTGTTAGATTGAAAATTTTTCTTTTAGACCTTGAAAAATCCATTTAAGCAAGTCTTTCCAAAAGACCGTAAATAAAAAATAAATATCAGATCTAAAATTTGTCTTCAGTACTTAATTCACAAGAGTCTGATGGTAAACATGCGCCACCTTACGCTTCGCATAATAACAGGTATGATGATGTACTAAGGTCATGCCTATACATAATACGTTATCGTCAGGACAAGCCTTTTAATTATTAATTAGGAGAATAATATTTTATTTTCTATTGATTAGTATATTTAAACTACTGTATCTCTAAAACAAAAAAAGTATCCCTTTTCCTCAAACTATTATAGAACTAGTGTGGAAGCAAAATACAACAAGCATGTATTAAAAAGAATCACAGAACAGAGTTCAGTTCATTTAATTTCAAGTTTAAAACAAATGTTATATCTATATCGTGAAAAAATATTCTTAATTTTTTTTAGCTATAACAGCAATTGATAGAATTTGTTTTATTTTTCCTTCAGATTATATTTGATAAATTTCCCATTTAAACGACGATCTCAAACCCATGACCTTAAAATTGTTTAGGAAGGACCCCTTTTCAGTCCTCGTGACCAACAAATGTTTCTGACGCTGTGAAAAATCTTATTCTGTATTCATTTCAAATTTGGCTTGAATTACATTGATCTGAAAAAAAACATGCATATATAATATTTTTCAACCAAGTCCATAGTTGTTAATATTCAGTTATACTTTTGTGTCTGTTTCCTCTTTCAAGTTCGTTTATTTATTTTTTATTTTTTTTATTTTTTTTTTTTTTGCAAACGAGGCACATGATATTCTTTTTTATAATTTTTTTATTGATTGATTGATTGATTAATTAATTTATTTATTTATTTATTTGGAAGTCAATGCTGTATTTCTGACTTCAGCAGGAATATTACTTCATTAGATAAAAGTAATACATGTATGTCTGCTTCTTTGTTTATTATTGCATATAACAAAATAAATGATTAACTTTTATGGGGACCCCTTTAGACTTTTAACCATTTAATTCAAATTCAAATTGAAATAACCAAAAAAATTCAGTTTAAGAAAGAGGCGTGCTCTAAATTAGTACATGAACGAAAGAAAGACATATCATTTATTTCAGTAGACGCAATATGTAATTTTACATATATTTATAATTAAGTTACTCTGGTGGACATTTAAATTTAAAGAAGAGATATATCTTTTTTTCGTTTTTCTTTTAGTTATCTCAAATCCATGATACACATAAAATAGATGTTAGGGGGTCATACACAAGCGAGGAAATATTCAGCTGGAATATTCCCTGCCCCGCTTCCTTGTCATGCGAGTATTATTTACGTTTGACACGATCATGATTGTTTATAAACAGATTACATTTAGACTGCACTTGGCCTATTTAAGTTTAAATAGCATCATAGACCTGTTAACACGGTACAAATTAATTGAATAAATAGTTTTCTCATCATAGTTGTTAAATATTCCACTTTAACATTCCGTCTTATAGTTTTTATTTTTTATTAACCACTTTCTTAGGTCAAATTCATAATGTCATTTCTTATTTCAAACCAATCATTAAGAGTACGGTAATTAAGTTATGTAATATTCCTATATATAGAATACAAATCACACTACGTCCACTCTGTGTCATCTTTCGGGTTTTTAGTTTGCTGTATTGTGAATATAGAGAAAACATAGATATAGGTATCCATGAAAATACATCTATTGTTCATATAAATAAAACTAGATGACTCGTTCTGTAAAACATTACAATGATTTAAAATATCAACAAAACAGACAAATGTATTACGAGTTAGTAGTATTTCACACAGCTTTTGCATTTGAGTTACCCATAATGATTTTAGAGCAAGATTGGGCTTTAGTTGAAATATGAGCTTCTCTTTTTAATCTTTAGGCATAAAAGGAATTGTAGATTTTTTTTTCTTATTTAAAAACTGACAAATAGTAAGAGAAAATAATTCAATAGATAATATAACATTCCTAGGATAAAACATTTATGCATCGAATAATGTAACACTGACTCCTAAAAAGAAACTAGGTTTAAAATATTTTCTAAATACAGATTATGAGGAGCAAGGATTGAAGTCCAGAGTAGCATGACATGCTTGAATTAGTTTGTAAACAGGTCTTTTTATTTGTCATGTTTATTTTAACTATATCACTTTATTACTATTAAAAAAACAGTACAACAAAAGACGTCGGCAAATCAATGAAGCACATAATTTTCTGTTTTCTTTCTACATCTTATGAATGGAGGTAAAAAGACACATTTTTAAGAGAAAGGGGCAGAAAGAAAGGGGTCAAGGGCTGCGAACCATGACAGTTGAAAATAAAATGATCTTTCTGTCAGTTTCATATTCTAGCTAGGTATCTTCATTCTTTTTAAAGGAACTTTTAATACTATTTATTTTCCCTGGTAAGCATGTTTTTTTTTCAATATTGAAAGGTCCTTATGCTTAATTATAAAGATGTAAATCATGATGAACAGAATTATTAAATTTTGGATTTAATGCAATTTCACTTGCTATTTTATATGCCAGATGAAATGCTTAACTATCAAAACCTATAAGGATATTATGTCTAGTCTCAATTCAGTACCATTCCAAAGCTGTTTTAATCATATTAAAGCAAGATGTACAATTGTTTTACCGTAGTTTTTAGAAAATAAAACCCTGGAAAATTGGGCCACCTTTAACTTAAGTTTTTAAATATAAATATATAGAAAAACTCAAAGTTTTACAGTGGTGGAAACTATAAATGCAACTTCGACGAACATTACAGAAGTTTGTCATTTTCATTTCAGCATATGTTAGCAAATAATTTACAAGTGACAGTTGTATATTAATGATACTATTCAACATCAGGGGCAAAAAGGAACTTGTAAGTTCAATTGATAGAATTTTTTTCGATACTTTTGTGTATTTCAATGCAATTATACAAAAAATATGTGCAAACCATAAATGATAAGAGTTTGCACATTTGTAAGGAAGGGAAATAACAGTTATATTTTATTGTTGAAGTTTTAAGGCACCATAAATATACACTCCAGGAATTAAATATGAATGAAAGAAAGAAACAACTGTAGACGCGCATTTGTATAACATTTTTCCCCGGTAACCGAGTATAAAATTAGTATAGAGAATTAAAGTATTCATTGATGAGAACCTAGATCAAGTAGATAATTATAATAATGATAATAATTATAAACATTAATTTAGAGTCATATTTAATATTCATTACTTTAAGGCACTGAATATTGTTTAAGATACTAAATTACTAATACATGTACTAAGATAAGATACACTTTAAAATTCATAAAAATACAGAGGATGGGCACGATTTTAAAATATCTGGTAAATGCATCCTAGAGTAATAAATCCAAGTAAAAATTACATATTGTAGTATGTCAATTTAAGGTCACGTTTGAAAGTTTGAAAGATGAAAATATTTGTAAGTCTAAGTAAAGAAAGTTTTTTTCTTTAGCGTCTTTACAATGGAAGTACATTCTATACTTAACAATCCTCTTCTGTATCAGAAGCATCTGCTGTAAGAACAATAACTCTTGATAACACAAAATATTGTAATAATAGTATTTTCTTATTTTCTCTTTAGTCACCCTGACGATATTAAATACGTGTATCAATGGGAAAGAAATTTGTTATAGAAATGGCACTTTGACAACTTATGATCCAAATATCTCTATCTGCTGTGGCGGAAAGGTCTCTAGAAAACAGGATTCAATGTCTTGCTGTCGAGGTACAGGTTTTTACTATAAATTACTGATCATCGTTGTAATTGTTCACTTATTTAGGATTAAAAGGGATCACATGAATGTCTTGACAGATTTACACTTAAAATTCATTGCAGATCAATTGTATAACAAAAACGTGTTTGTCTGTTGTGGAAACGAACTCCTACATAAATGGAACAAAGGTATCTCCAGGGTGTGTTGTGGCGGCCGACTTTACAACGAAACACGTACGTAAGAAACTACTATTATTAATTAAAATTTTCATCAAAAATGGTAGACATGTCACAAATCAAAATTTTAAAAAAGATCAACTTCATGAATGAGAGTGTATTAAAATGCATTTTTTATTTATGTAGAAAATAAGATTTGCTGTGGCGACATTCAGATCAACAAATCAACACATTTCTGTTGTACAAACAAGCCAGGTCTAAAATCTAGTGGTATGGACTGCTGTTTTGGTGAACCGTTCAACCCGACAACACACCGCTGCGAAGATGACAGAGTGATACAGTTGACAAAAGGTTTATGTGGTGATACTTCTTACGATGTGAAATCAAGCATGAAATGCTGCGATGAGAAACTTCACAACATTTCAAAGATCAAAGACCCTGTTGAGTGTTGCGGAAAAGAGCTGTATTCCATATTCTCACAACAATGCTGCAAAGGAACCAACTTTCGAGCCCCCAAAGACGAACAATGTTGTGGACAAGGTACTCCGAAAGTTACCACCTTTGATATATTTCTAAAGGATACTTTAGTTTGATGTAGATACATGTATTTATAACTAAAGATATTTTCTTCTTTTTATCTTAATAGCATCAATAAATTCATATTCGCATATTTGTTGCAATGGCGTAAAATATTCCCGGATGCCAACAACTTTAGCGTGTTGTGGGAATCAAACATATAATTCAGTTTCTGAGGATTGTTGTGGTATCAACGTGTACAACAAATCGAACCAACATTGCTGTGGTATGTCTATAATTTAGATATCATGTTTTGTGTATTTGTGCTATATATATATATATATATATATATATATATATATATATATATATATATATATATATATATATATATATATATATATATATATATACATCCCTTTAATATTTGATATACAATTTCAGTTACCAAAAATTAAAAAAAAAATATTATACATATATGTCATCATGCAAATGTAATCCAAACAATGGATCTTCCTTAATGAGATGACAATTTAAAAAAAAAAATTTAATCCAATCTATTCACTGAATTTTAAAAGAATAGAATCACAGAAATCCTTTCTTCTTAAAGAATAATCCGGCATTCATTGATGTCACTGCTTATTTATGATTCTGCAAAAAGCATGTAATTACAACATATGTCCAACTATAGGATCAACAGAGTGGTGGATCTTTTATTTAGAATCACAAACACTGAAAAGGCTCCCAAGTAGTCTGTCCTCAGATATAAGCTCTTGTTTTGTATAGCACAATCTGAAAAGAAACATAGAGAAAATGGTGTTCATTCATCGATCTACATATAATTATCTTTAGATGATGAAAATATGAAATATTCAAGTACTTTCCCCATTTCATTAATGAAAAGAATTAGATTAATCACCATGAGAATAATATTGTTGAAATGTAATATTATTAACGTACACAAATTTTGCCTTCACCAAAGGCAGGTCTTTTTGGCAATTTGAATGAAATTCAAATATGTTGATTATGTAGATGGAACTGACAACTAGCTGCAAAAGAATTTCATTTTTAATAAACATTTTATATAATGATCAACTTTACACATACACAACGAATACTTGAATCAAGGAGGTAAATTTGATGCTTGAATTAAGTTTCCAATTCAAATCCATGTAACGTTTTATTGTCTCTTCTACACATATACAAAGAAAAGTTCAATCATGTACGGGTAGAAGCTAGAGAAGTCTTCTCTCTTTTCTTTTTTTTTAAAAAAAAGACTAAGATAAAGGAATTATACTCACCGAGCAGAGTTAATAGTCCAGCACTTATTTTTGTTGCTTATATGATGCAAAGTCTTTTCTTTTAAATCAGCAACAAGAAAACGCGCACATCTAGATCTTGTTTATCAGAATTCAAATTCTGGCCTAGATAAGCTGCAAACCACTTACACTACAACGTGCTGCCCAGCAGGAGAATTGCATAACAAGGTTACTATGACTCTGAAACTGACCAGTAAGCCAATCCTAATCTAATGCCTTAGATTTAAATTGGGAGTGGATCACAAATATTATATGAAGACAAAGATTTAAAAAAAAAAAAACAGGCTGCGTTATTTAAACGATGTGCTGCTAATTTATTTATTAATTATTGTACTTATTTATTTGTTATTTCATTTGACTTTTTTTTCAAAAATATTTTTTGCCTTCAGTGAACTTTGTACCTACCTGTATGAATTTTAATTATTAAAACTTAATTTTCCAGTTCTCTTTTAAATATGGCTATTATTAATGTATGCATGCTGTTTGATTCTCCAAGATGGAGTGAATTTAAAGCTTGCATTTTCACCTATCACAGATGACAAAGTTAACAAACCATATCGGAATCATACAACCAATTCTGACAAAGTTAACAAATCATATAAAACTCATGATTCTTAACAGAGAAGTTAGCAAATCATGTGTAACTCGTATGGAGTTTTAGGACAAAGTTAAGAAATCATATCAAAATCACAAACTTTTAGCAGTTAAAGTTAACGAATCATTTCAAACTCATGTTCCTTTGTTTTCTAAGTTAATGGCACATGCCAGAATCACAAGAAAATCATAGCAGACCCATAGCCAAGAAACAAACCACATCAGGATCATACTTCCTTATTTGTCATCTATGATTTCTGTATGATCCATTTAATGGATCATGTCTAAATCAAAGTTCAAAATCATGAATTTGTGAGTTTGATATGATTTTTATGTGATTTTGGCATGATTTGTTAAAAAAAGTTTTTGTTTGGGCAGGTGAAGAGAATGTAGCAATGGTGGGTGAAGACTGTTGCGGGACCAATGCGTACAGTATTGTAAAACAGTTTTGTTGTAACAAAACTGGCAAATATACCGTCATCAACAAAACTTCCAGTCTTAATAAATCTTTAAATGGTGAATCTAAGTGTCCAGGCTATCGATTTGCCATTAAATGCGGCAAAACACAACTGAACGGTAAGAAGGAACCGTGTTGTAACAGTAGAGTATCTAAGAATGACCACTTAAATGGTCAGACTGTCTGTTCTCAGCTGGAAGAGAATACATCACGCAATCAAACTATGACTGAAAGAAGGAAAACCAGAAATCGAGTTCGACATGGAATCTGTCGCATATGCAGTCTAAATACCAACTCATTATTGAGTCTCATCAAGAAACAAAAGGTGTCAGTTTGCCGTAAAAAAGGTGAGTAATAAGCAAAGTAAAAGTTTAGTAATACGAGTCACATCTTACAATTATTCTCTAAATTAAAGACTTCTTGTATATCTTTTTAGTAATTCTGTTGGCTGTTGATACAAGCAATAGAATCGGGAGATACTGGATGCTGAATGTTACAGCTTCTTATCCGAACTCTACAAGAGAAGGATCAGCAGAATTCAACCTGAAAGTACTGCTACCTTGTACTAAGTGCTCGAAACTCCAATCGAAAGTCACAAATTATTTGTTACTAACTCAAAGTAGAGTAGTTCCTGGTAAACTACTGCGACTGGGAGACAGCGACTTTCTCTTTCCAAACAAAACAACCAAAACAGATACGTATCTTCGTATTACAAATCAGCAAGCTAAATGTAAGGATAATCGAAATGTATTTGTCAACGCGCTCAAAAAGAGAATGCGAAAGGGACTAAAAAAGTTTCTAAAAGAACTTTTTCAGTTCAAACTCCGATAGGTGATTATTGCTTGATAATTTAAAGGTGTGTGTTTGAAGCCAAAGTGAAAAGTACTTAACGGTTTTAAATGAATGCATGTCTTTAATTGCTCTAAGCTCCATGGAGTATTTTCTTTTTGATAAACTTTCAACTTCAAATTATTCCAATTGATTGGTCGTTTATTTACGGAACATCCCTTGAGAAGTTTTCACTCATGCCTCACTGAACATCCCTTGAGAAGTTTTTACTCATGCTACGAATTGAAAGTCCTCAAATTCAGACCCTTACTAGTCACTTACACTATACGGCCGTTGAGTTGTGAGGGATCTTTTTCATGCAAGCTCCTACTGCGACACGAGACTCTGGTTTATACGTTCTCATTTGAAGGACCGCTCTCTATGTCTCATACATGTAGGATTGGAATCCGTATCGTAATCGTGAGGATCGATGCCTTACGCTATGAACCTTGAACGAAACAATCTAACCACTGCACAACTCAAAATATTGTGTAAAATCATAAAGTCGAACATTTGTAATACGAACAAGGGATTTTGAATATCTGGATGTCCTCTTTGTAAGTTAGTTGTATTTCCCATCAATAATTTATATTCTACAATAAAAACTCGGATATGTCAACATGTGGAATTCTTGAATTATTCGAAAGGCACACATTTTCTCTGGTCATATACATTTCGTAGGCTAATTTACTACATGATCCAGATAAACAATTCAACTCCTTTTTAAAAGTATTTTGTGCCTGGGGTTTTGCGAATCTTTATTTGTTATCATTGGACATATATACAGCCTTTTCTTTATTTATTCATGTATTTCTTTATTTTAGCTATGGATCTCATATTATTCTTTTAAAGAACTAATTTGTTTTCGCATCTCTGTGTATTTTTTTATTTAATTGTATGTATATTTTGTTTCATTCTATTCAACAAAGAATTCTTTGACTTGTTCTTTATTTTTAATAAAATGCTTTGAAGTCTTTTAAATAAACCATTTTTATATTAAATGCTGTAAAGACAATCATAATAATTGAATATTGTTGCATCCCCCTTTCAATTTGGAAAACAACATCCTTACATTCCCTTTACAAATATCGTTTAGCCGTTTACTGAATGGGTACTGTTGATTTTATCGTTAGATGTTTCATGTACAGTAACATGTATATAGTCTCACTAATCCTTCTTTAAGGTCATGATCCCACTCTGCATCTCTCTCTCTCTCTCTTTCTCTCTCTCTCTCTCTCTCTCTCTCTCTGTTTCTAAGCCTTATTATTCATCCACAAGATACAAGATATGATGATTTAAACACAAAAAATTCTTTTGACTAAAACTGAAAATTTAGTGGAGAGGAAGAGAGAGAATAAGATTGAGAGACTGACGCACTGGATGCCTTATGTTTTTTTTCTTATAATATATCACTAAATTATGCTATTACATTATTGTTCTCTTTTATGAAGTTTAGGGGGTCAACTTACCTAGATTTTTGCAAATACAAGTGTTTATTCGCAGTGTCTTAAATATAGTCACAGATGATCTTATTTTGGACTAACGTGTGAAATTCACAACCCAATTAAATTCAATCTCAAAAATAGATTGTTATATTATTAAATTGATATCATGACCCTTTTCAATAAAAAAAAATTGGTATGCACTTCTACAAAATCAGAACATACAATAATGAAACAAAACATGGAGAAGCAGTGATTTGGCTGAAAGAAAAAGACAAAGATAATGAACAGTGATCGAACTAAACATCCAGTTAAACAATAAAAATTTGAGAGCAGGGAAAACACGGCACACTGGAAACACTAGGGCTAAAATCAAGTGCCATGAAGGAGCAAGCATCTCCTGTCGATTGGTCATACCATACATTTTAAAAATGCATTTGTCAACATGAATGCAGTTATTATCAATTGGAATTCCAGATTTTTATGGTCTCCAAAGACAGCATAGATACCGTCAATTTAAAAAATTCCAACACCTTCTTAATATCCACTAGAATACTTGAGAGAAGAATCAGAATGTTTTTAACAAAATAATTTCTGGATAATTAATCACAAGATGTGTTTATTTTCGAGTGCAATTTCAATTAAAGAAGCAGTTATCTATAAAATTAAATACACTCTTTTTCAATTTATCATGGAGGTTGCTTGCATAAAATATGGAAAATTGTACGTTTTGATGATACTAGTTTTTGAAAAGTTTTCTTATTTCAAATTTGCGAAAACATTAGAGTCTTTATTTTAGTATCCAAGTTTAATTAACACCGCTTTCAAAAAACTAGTATGCTACAGGACAGTACTTCTGAAATTTCCTACATATTCTCGTGAGGAGTGTGATTGATTCACTGATTGATGGTTTCGTCCCTGTCAAGATTATTTCACTCGTCTGAGACATCGGTGAAAGGTGCCTCAAATTTAGACCTTTATTCATGGCCATTCACTAGAAGTGGATCTTTATTATCCCAACGCCTGCCGTGAAACAGAACTTCGTCTGAAAGACCTACAACTTTCACTTCAAAGTGCCTCGCCCTCAAGGCGAAGGAACAGTTGCTACCCGTTTTTTTACGGAGGTTGGTAGCGACCAGGGCGCGAGCCCACGACCTTCCGATAAAAGAGCGAGTCTTCTACCGACTAAACTGGGTGATGGTCTAGTGAGGAGTAAGTTAAGAGGCTAAATAGGTCCCCTATGTACATGTTTCTTTGTTTAAAGGATTTTGATGAATTTTTTGTTAATGTTAAAAATATTTTAATTAACATAATTTTGAAAAATTTCTTCCTTTGAGAGAGAATTTTGAGAACAATTAGATTCCCAGTTGTAGAATTAAAGCCAAGTTCTTCTAAATGCAACTGTAATCATGAATCTTTTAAATGTATTTCTAAATAATGAATTTTTTTCCACTTTATTTTTTTTATCATTGATCACATCTTGTTTTCTTCCGGTTCGAGAATTTCTTTTACTCATTTAGAGGTGTCACCATAGGGGTTTCAAATTAAGACCTTTACTTGGTACTCATGAGCAGTGATCTTTATCAATTTTAACAATTTCTAAAACGAGGTAAATTATTGACAAACAAGTTGATGAAACAAGAATATCAGCCGTCTCGTTTAAAGCCATCAGTTCGTAAGTTCTATGGTCGATACAATGACCTTGTCAGCAAATACAATGTATCATTGAGTCAAATGCTGACTGACGTTTTTCATACTAATTGTTAGACCATTAATTACACACTGAATTGTCGACGGATTCTTCCGTTATTTCCCGATCATGACGAGGAGCACACGGCGGGTGTGACCGGTCGGCAGGGGATGCTCACTCCTCCATGGCACCTGATCCCACCTCTGATGTCTGAGAGGTCCATGTTTGCTCTGCTCCTATTTTGTATTGTTTAATGGTCTTTTGAGCTTGAAAACTGTTTGTTATCTATATATTTCATCTTGCCAAAGCATGTCGTGACACTGGGCCTCGGTTTTTAAGGCCTCGTCTGAAAGACCAGCAACTTTCACTTCAAAGTGCCAAGTGCTTGACGAAGGAACAAGTTTCTACCTATTTTTATCGACTTGGGTCAGTTGCGGCTGGGATTTGAACCCACAACCTTCCGATCACGGAGAGAGCGCTCTACCGACTTAGCTACTGTAACGGTAAAAAGCTTTTTAAATTTTTTTTTAAAACTTCTGATCACAAATTACTGAAGACAGAAAGAAAGATGGTAAATAAATATCTTATCATTGAACATTCTTAATTTTGAGATTTCAAGATCAATCTTATACTTTTAATCCATTATGACAAAGTGTCATTATATTCTTTATGTTTGACTAAATGATAGGTATGAAATTCTGGATAAAATAAAATATATACTTTATATTCCAATTTATTCTCATAAATATTCTTTAGCTATTGCTCACAAATGTAAGAGGTGACGATAACGAACAGAAATCAATCTCAGACAGCTAATAAACGAAACAAGTTGTGAACAAGGCAAAAACACAGACCCCTTTAAATATCAGAGGTGGGATCAGGTGCCTGGGAGTAGTAAACATCCCCTGTTGACCGGTCACATCCGCCGTGAGCCCTATGTATTGATCAGGTAAACAAAGTACTTTGTAGTCAAGTTAAGTATAAAAGCAATTACCTAACAAATGGAATGAAATTTCAGACAAAATACGACTCAACAATAATTTATACTCAAAAGCAAAGTCATCATAATGACCGTAGAAGTTATTTGTTAGTAGCTTGCCTCGGTTTAAAAATTGATAGCACTAAGCGCATGCTCTAGTGTATCAAATCATTTGGGGGACAAAAACTCCAAACTCCAAATGCAGGTGATTCTGGAATATTATAATGAACTAAATACTCGTAAATAAGGGATGGAAAAGCTGAAGTCATCTCGTTTGTCATACAGCTTAGTTATTAGTTGGCAATGTCTATAGTCAGTAAGAGATCCAAATATGAAACAGATGTGGCAGACTCTGTAGTGTCTTTTGAGTTCATTGAGATCAATTTTATTTTGAGTTCACTGGGATATATCGGCATATGAATGAAAGTAACTATTGTTAATTGATAAAACGTTGATATATCTGAATGTCGATCGAGCTGAAGGCAACAGCAAGAGTTTTCTTCTCGTGAAGAAGTTTATAAAAAAAACTCTGCTACATAGGAATATAACAACGGTCGTTTAATAAAGGGGCATAATAAGCGCCCATCGTAATTCCAACTGATTGTTGGAAGACCTTTTCTCCAAAGACTAAACAGATATTGTCAATGAGAAACTCAGGCATATTTTTAGAATATAAACTTCAAAGTACTTGTGTGTAGAATCAGAGTGATTTTTTTTCTTTGACGACCATTCACAACATATATGAAAATTTCCGAGTTCCATATTTATTGAAGAAGCAGCTGTCTATCATATCAAGAAGTCTGGTATTTAATTTATCTAGAGGAACGGTTGTATAAAGTGTAGAAAAGACATAAGTTTTGATATTACTAACTTTTGAAAAATTTTATGATTTTAAATTTTCTTACGTTCTTTGGAGTTTTTGAGACTCCACATTTGATTTTCACCACTTCTAGAATATGCTGTAGATCAGTACATCTGAAATTTCTCCTTTACTACAGTTAATATTTCTGTGAGGAGTAAATAAAGGGGTTTGGAAGAGCATTTGCTGGACTTGGCAATGTATCTTTGTTTGTAAGGAATTTTATGCATACGGGGTTTATATCTGAATTGTCGACGGATGATTTTTCCGTTATTTCCTGATCATGACAAGGAGCACACGGCGGGTGTGTCCGGTCGGCAGGGGATGCTTACTCCTCCGTGGCACATGTTCCCACCTCTGATGTCTGAGAGGTCCGTGCTTGCTCTGCTCCTATTTTGTAATGTTTAATGGACATTTGAACTCGAATACTGTTCGTTATCTCCACATATTTCATGAAGCTTAGAAATCCAGTAAAGGTGAGTAGATCGAATATTAAAAGTATTAAAGACTGAAATGTGCTTTTAAAGAATTTCCTCCTTAGAAAGTGAACTGTTAGTATAAGTAGGCTTAACAGATGTAGAATTAAAAGTTCTTATAAGATACAGTTATAATAATGAGCCTTGTATATAAAGACGATATTGTTACAAGCTTTGTCTGTTGGAACATAGCATATTGTTTATTTAGTCTTTCCAATTCATTTATCACCTCCGATTTAGTGAAAGCGAAAGGATAGACAGTTCGCATATTGCCTTTCAACTTTTTAACACGATCTTTAAAATATTTCTAAACGCTTAATCCATTCTGACGAAATGTACAGGTCTTCTTCATATTTCGCCAAACATCTGACATAATCTTCGATAGAATTCATAATAGAAATGAAGTTCTGCTGCCAACTGAAAGATCAGGGCTCCCTGTATTTAGGACCTTT